AAGTGATCTGAAGAAGAGCTCTGTGTAAGCTTGAGAGACTGTCTTTACCACCCCACACTGGAACCCATACAGGGTATCATTAAACAGTTACAACCCATACTCAATGGGGACCACATCCTGAAAGAAATCTTTCCCAATCCCCCTCTTCTGGCCTTCAAACAGACTCCCAAACCTCATCATCAGAAGCAAGCTCCCCACAGACCAGAACCCACCAACTCAAAGCAGCGCCAGATCCTGCCAGAACAACGGACGCAAAATCTGCAGCCATACTTCCACTGCTACTATGATCAATATCCCCTAAACAGACCTTTCAAGATCCCTGGGTGCTACACATACCTATCACAACATGTGCTGTACCTCAGCCAGTGGGCTGAATGCCCCAATAACAACTGTGTAGGTGAAACCAGACCATCATTACGCTCTCGAAGGAACTCACACAGGGAAAACGCTCCAAGACAAAAACTCCGCCTCACCCGTGGGCAAACACTTTTCACAAAACAAGCCCTCCCCATCTAAACACTCTCAGGCCTCATCCTCAAAGGAAACCCTCACGGCACCTTCGGAAGATAAGCCTGGGAGCATCAGTATCATAGTATCATAGAATATCAGGGTTGGAAGGGACCTCAGGAGGTCATCTAGTCCAACCCCCTGCTCAAAGCAGGACCAATCCCCCCAATTTTTGCCCCATCGCTAAATGGCCCCCTCAAGGATTGAGCTCACAACCCTGGGTTTAGCAGGCCAATGCTCAAACCACTGAGCTATGTCTTTGCTAGATGCAAAAAATCATGGTCGTGAAAAAGACACAGGATTTATGGCTTATTAGAACAGCCTGTAACCTACTAGCCCTCCTTTTTTTGGTCCTCTGACTGCAGAGGGGTCTGAGCATGTTACCTACTTATGCTAAACAATCTGTTCCACCTTGTGTGGAACATACCTGCATACCTTTCCCAGCCCTGAAGATGAGCTCTGTGTAGCTCACAGGCTGGTCTCTTTCCACCAACAGAAGCTGGGCCAATAAAAGTTATTACCTCACCCACCTTGTTTCTCTGCAAGAGGCAGACTTTGAAATAATAGACCCAGCTAGCCAGGCAATCCTGACTGGTCCCTTTCTTCTGATCTGTGCAGAGTGACCTGTTTAACTCCTCATTAGGCAGAGCCACACTCCACCCTGGTCAATTCCACCTCCATAGGCCCAGGATGTGAAATCAATAGGAAAAAAAAATATGGGTTGTATGCATAGACTGGGCCATTTGGGTGCTAAAGTTTGCCTGAGGCCTTTCCCACGGTTCGCTGATACTTTGGAATTAAACACTGCCAATGTAGTAACAGACAATTTACAAAATACACAGCTGGGCTTCACCCCAGGGAATTGCCACATGGCAGAGGCCGCTGCCTGGAAGCTGTAGCAACTTCACGCATATAGATGGTAAACGGTGTGATGACCCACTTCCCCATATCCACTCTCAGTGTGGCAGTTCTCAGCTGTGTACTCAAAGCTCTGACTCTGTGGGGAGGAAAGGGAAGTGGCTGTACTATTGAGAGGAATGAGGGCATGGCATCTACACCCTGGGCCTCTTCCCAAGAGAATGTTAATGGGGGCGGGGGGAAGGCTGGCCGAGTGGTTAGCACAGTCACCGAGGCGTTCACAGATGCAGGTTCAATTCCCTGCCCTGCTACTGTCTTGCGGTGTGATTTTGGACTGACTTCTTTGTGCCTCAGTTTCCCCTCTCTAAAACAGGGAGGACAGCACCTGCCTACCTCATAGGAGTAGCATTAAAGACTGTGAGGTGTTCAGATACTATGGTAACCGGGGGTGGGCCCACAATACATGCCTTAATTAGATTCTCCAGTTCTCTCTTTATTCTGGTGAGGTCATGCAGTCTATTTCCCTGCCAGCGCAGGATTGTTCCCTAAAATATAGTACATCCTCCTGCCTAGTTTTGAATGCATAGGTGAGGGGAGAAGCCACTCCTAATACCGGTGATAGCAAGCACCTCAGAGAGAAAAGGGAGGAGGCTACCTACATCTTGCAGATTTCTTCTGCATAACATCTCTAACATTTCGCTTGCACAAAGCCATCACTCCATATCTGACCTGTCAGTCCCCGTCCTCAAAGGAAACCTGCACAACACTTTCCAAAGACCCAGCTTAGGAGCTTAAATTCATTACTTTGCTAGACACTAAAAATCCTGAACTGAACAGAAACACTGGATTTATGGCTTATGACAAGCATCTGTAATCCACTACCCACCGCTTTTTGTCCTATGATAGAGGTGTAAATGGGCCACTCTACCTCGAATGGTCCCTTACAACACATGGTAACTACTAATGCCACCTTCCATTTTGCTGTGACTCTGGGAGCTCCTTTCCCAGACCTGCAGAGCGCTGTGGCTCAAAAGCTCAGAAGCTGACATCCTTCTCCTTGCAACATCCTTCTCCTTGATCATGACAAACACCCTGTTCAGATCCAGTCCGAATGCTGCTACAAAGATCATTCTCTTAGCCTGTCTCTTTCACCATGTCAGCCCTCTCTCTGCATCCCTCCCCGCCTTCCCCTTCTCGATCAATCAACTGCCTCTCTTCAGGCCTCTTGAACCCAGTCTGAACCAAGCTATGCAATTCCCCCCAGGGTGGAGTACTTCTCTGGAGTTGTTTACCTGTCCCGGGACTTCCAGTAACTACCCGCATTGATTTTAATTTCTGGGAAAAGCTGGTAACCCTCCTCCCTCACAGAGCTAGGATACAGTCCCTAACTCACAAGGAGATGTATAACATGGAAGCACAGAATCACAGAAATGTAGAGCAGGAAGGGACCTCGAGAGGTCATCATGTCCACCCCCCGCGCTGAGGCAGGACCAAGTAAACCTAGACCATCCCTGACAGGTTTGTCCAACCTGTTTTAAAAAACCTCCAGTGACGGGGATTCCACAACCTCCCTTGAAAGCCTGTTCCAGAGTTTAACCACCATTAGAGTTAGAAAGTTTTTCCTAATATCGAACCTAAATCTCCCTTCCTGCAGATTAAGCCATCATTTCTTGTCCTACCTTCAGTGAATATGAAAAATAACTGATCACCAGCCTCTCTATAACAGTCCTTAATATAATTTAAATCTGTTATCAGACCCTGTTTCAGTCTTCTTTTCTCACTAAACATGCCACGCTTTTTTAACCTTTCCTCAGAGGTCAGGTTTTCTAAACTGTTGATCATTTTTGTTGCTCTCCTCTGGACTTTCTCCTGTTTGTTCACATCTTTCCTAAAGTGTGGTGCCTGGAATTGGACACAGTTCTGCAGCTGAGGCTGCACCAGGCCTGAGCAGAGTGGGACAATCACCTCCCGTGTTTTACATACGACACTCCTGTTAATGACAGGTTTCAGAGTAACAGCCGTGTTAGTCTGTATTCGCAAAAAGAAAAGGAGTACTTGTGGCACCTTAGAGACTAACCACTTTATTTGAGCATGAGCTTTCGTGAGCTACAGCTCACTTCATCAGATGCCCAGAATGATATCAGCCTTTTTAACAACTGCATCACATTGTTGGCTCATGTTCCGTTTATGATCCACTATAAACCCCAGATTCTTTCCAGCTGTACCTCCGTCTACCCAGTTACTCCCCACTTTGTGTGGTCCATTTGACTTTTCCTTCCTAAGGGTGGTACTTTGCACTTGTCTTTATTGAATTTCATCTTGTTGATTTCAGCGCAATTCGCCAATTTGTCCAGGTCATTTTGACTTCTAATGTCCTCCCAAGTGCCTGCAACATGTCCCAGCCTTGTGTCACCTGCAAATTTTATAAGCGTACTCTCCACTCCATTATCCAAGTCATTAATGAAAACATTGAATAGTATCCAGGACTGACCCCTGAGGGGGTGTGGGGGGGCAGATCCCTGCCCATAGGTGGTGATGGTCTCCACTAGAATGGAACGAGCCCCCCCAGAAGCGTTTCAGAGTATCAGCTGTGTTAGTCTGTATTCGCAAAAAGAAAAGGAGGACTTGTGGGGCCTTAGAGACTAACCAATTTATTTGAGCATAAGCTTTCGTGAGCTACAGCTCACTTCATTGGATGCATTCAGTGGAAAATACAGTGGGGAGATTTATATACACAGAGAACATGAAACAATGGGTGTTACCATACACACTGTAAGGAGAGTGATCTCTTAAGGTGAGATATTACCAGCGGAGAGCGGCGAGGGGGGGGGAGGGGGAAGAAACCTTTTGTAGTGATAATCAAGGTGGGCCATTTCCAGCAGTTGACAAGAACGTCTGAGGAATGGTGGGGGGTGGGGGGGAATAAATATGGGGAAATAGTTTTACTTTGTGTAATGACCCATCCACTCCCAGTCTCTATTCAAGCCTAAGTTAATGGTATCCAGTTTGCCAATTAATTCCAATTCAGCAGTCTCTCATTGGAGTCTGTTTTTGAAGTTTTTTTGTTGAAGAATTGCAACTTTTAGGTCTGTAATCGAGTGACCAGAGAGACTGAAGTGTTCTCCGACTGGTTTTTGAATGTTATAATTCTTGACTTCTGATTTGTGTCCATTTATTCTTTTACGTAGGGACTGTCCAGTTTGGCCAATGTACATGGCAGAGGGGCATTGCTGGCACATGATGGCATCTATCACATTGGTGGATATGCAGGTGAACGAGCCTCTGATAGTGTGGCTGATGTGATCAGGTGTGGTTATCGGCTCTTAGCTTCTTAAGAAATTTCACATAGTGCCCTCCAGCTTCCCCCCGACCCCCGCAGACCCCAGTGAAAATGGATCAGGCCACTTTGAGGGGCGCATGACAAACATCTGACTGTCTTGAAGAACAGCCTACCCCCGCCCCCTTGATGTGAAGCAATTTCACACTGAAACAAATGGGAAAGGTTTAATTGGGACCTACAAACATTGGGAATCTTTCCAGAATCAGGGTACTGCCTGTTTAAGAACAGAAGGCTCTGTTGGCTAGTTCTGATCAGATCCCACCCTGTTCCCAGTTTCCAGACAAGCATGGCATACCGTCTCCCTGGTTTCATTGGTGAGGAACTTGGCGCATTCACTGTAATTCGCCCAGGTGCGGTTGTTGCCTGGCACCAGCTCCCAGCTCCCATTCACGTCACACCGCCGATAGGCGTGGCCTAACAAAAGGAACGAGAAAACAGACAACATGACGCTTAGCGGATTGCAGTCCTGCAGAACAGAAGAAGTATCTTTCCAAATGCTTCAACCACAGAATTTACCCACCTGTCCTTACAACTCAGCTACCCATAATCAGCCTGCCCTTATCTGCTCTCTCTGAGGCTTGTCATGGAGCCGCGGGGGAGCAGGGGGTTGTTTCAGATCAGCTTAGCCCAGAGGATCTCCCACCGCAGCTGACCTTTGAAACCCAGCCATTTGTTCTACACAGAAATGCTCAGATTTAAAGGGGCACCCATCAAACAGTGTAGGTCAAAATAAGGGGTGTAAAAAAAGAAAGACAGAAAAATGGTTTTCAAAATCCAATAGCATGGAAACATGTGCATGGTTGTTAAAAAAAAGTCATTGAAAAGCAATGGGCTTGTTCAAGTGGATCTTTCTACGTCTCTAGCCCTTATCACTTCTTATGTATGATCTTAGTGCCTTCCAATCAGAAACAGATTTTTTTCCCTTTGTCACACCCCTGTTACCAAGAGGGAACTCAGATACAGCACAGAATAAGGTCAGCCAGAGTGCCTGTGGCAAATCCAGTAATAAAACCCAGTGCTCCTGTGCCCCACTCCAGTGCTCCATCCACTTAGACCATCGTTCTTTCCCTTCTGTGTATCATAAAGGGGCCTTTAAGTGGTTCTGCAGAAAATCCTCCCTGACAGCTGCAGTTCTGGCATAAGGTTTCTACACTGGTCCAGCTCCCAGTCTCGGCCACAGTGGGCCTGTGGGAGGGTTGTGGATGTAATCTACTAAACGATGGCTAGTCTCTGCTTCCTGGGAGCTCTGGGAAGCATGCATAAGTTAGAGCAGCCTTGAGGCTGCTTTTATTTGCACCAGGGTCCAAGCAGACTCCTGCATAGCTCAGAATGGGGGGAGCATAAAAATGGTTTTACCCACCAACTCCAGTCCTGCGCGCAGCTCAGGTACAGAGCAACTGAGAAACAGGCACAAGGATTTTTTGTTTATTAAAAAAATTAGACACAGTATAGCCACATTGTGGTCTCGGCTCCACCTTTGTAATGCGGAATGAGAGTGGAGCAGCCAGACCAATGTCACAGGGTCACTGCTCTCAGGAGTCAGAGTGGAGCCACCATCGGTGACAACAGTGGGAATTTTCTGTAATACTTTCATGCTCTGTCTGTAGGATCCCGCACCCATCCGCTTTGCATCACTACCTTTGGGGGTGGGGTGAGAATTAATTGTCCTTGCACCATCGACGATCAGGGCAAAGAGTTTGAGCTACTAAGGCTGACTGGGCTGGAATCGACACATTTGAGTGGCAGGCCCTACCATGTCAATGGGAACCTCAGTGACTGAAGATGAACTCCGAGAGCCAGTTGCTTTTCTCCACTTCCCTGCATGGAAGCAGAACAAAAAGCCCCGAGCTGGAGAACCAGGGTTTGAAGGCGTCAGGTGCCTGTGATGAGAACAGGTTCTCTCAACACAGGGGCTCTCACTCGGGAGTCAGATACAAAGGGACACAGAGCCAAGACGCATTCTGCAGCAGTCTGGCTTGGTGGAGCTCTGGCTTCAGCCAATATGAACTCCACCTTCACCTCTGCTTCTCAATGCGAACCTAAGTGCTTCCAGATGCTGTAGTCCAGTGGGCTGTGAAAATCTGCAAATACTGACGTGCATTGATCCCTGAAAGGGGAAGAAAGTCCCTGACCGGGAGTCTGCCCTGATGCTCACACCAGGATTGCTAGACCCCAAAGACCCAGTCTAGGAGGTGTTGAGACCATCAGGGGGAGGGACGGCTCAGTGGTTTGAGCATTGGCCTGCTAAATCCAGGGTTGTGAGCTCAATCCTTGAGGGGGCCATTTAGGGATCTGGGGCAAAAAAAATTGGGGATTGGTCCTGCTTTGAGCAGGGGGTTGGACTAGATGACCTCCTGAGGTCCCTTCCAACCCTGATATTCTATGATTCACCCTTATGGCAACATGGGAGCACCTGAGGCACTAACGGGTGACTCCCGGGATACTGTTTAAGGGCCAGGGTATAAACCTGGGACACCGGTCAAGAAGGGAAAGTCTCCCTAGGCCAACGACCGGCTGTCTAGTCCTCAGCTGCATCCCTCCCTGCTGCAGGCTGGAAGGTTCCCGTGGCATTTGGGAAGGAGCTTTATTACCTTTGTGATTGAAGTCATAGATGTACTCAGGACATGGCATGGCCACCACTTTGCCCGGCACGCCTTCGGGCCAGCAGCCAATGCCGTCCCACTCGGGCAGACAGAAACCATCTGCGGGAGAAAAGCGAAAACACGAGAAGTCACTGAGCCTGCACCGACATAGTCCCCTGGCACCCTCAGAACTGTAGTGTGCCGGCTGCCTCCTGGATGTACACGGCATGGAAAGGGCCTTCTCCCAGCTAGAATTAAGTTCAGGGCACTAATCAATGCTTTTGGCCCAACCAGCCATTCAGGGAACCTGCTGTATGCGGGGTAGTTAATAGAAAGAGCGCCCTCTACTGGCAGATAAGAATAAGTGGCCTGGTCAAGAACAGCAGTTCTCAACCCACAGCCCAGCTGTGTGCTAAATAAATTCAAAATTTGCTGCTCTGGTCTGGCAGGGGACAGGGTTGGCTGAGGGGGAGACAGCATCTTGCAGCCTGCATGAGCAGCTCCTGCCGGCAGTGGGCTGGTGAGTGACACAGGGTGGTAGGGGGTGGGAGAGTGGGTCTGTGGGTAGGTTGGGGGGGGCTCTGGGCAGTGAGGGAGTGGGGGGCTCTGTGAACTGGAGTTTTGCCGGGGTGCTGCAGCACCCCCAGGTTTTAGGTAGGGCTCTGGAATTTTGTTAGTCTCTAAGGTGCCACAAGTACTCCTTTTCAGTTTACCCAGGCTTTCTAGAAACGGGTGGCTGGATATTAGGGTTCCTTTAGGCCAGCCCCATTCCCAGTTAAGTCAGCGGGAGTTTGGTCATTGCTTCCAATGAGGAAAGATCGGGTCCAGTTTTTGGAAAAAACTAAATTTTATACACCTCACACTCCATAATCTACAGTTAAAGTCTATCATCCTACAGCCATCGTAAAGGATTCAGAAGACATCTATATGGATGGAGGAGGGGTAGTTAAAAAAAAAGGGAGGGGGGGCACATCAAGACATTTCCCTCCCCCCCCTTTTTTTTTGGAATTTATTTTGAAAACTCAATTCTGACCCTTCATCTCAATGTTCATCCTGTTTTATTTGTTTTGAAATTTATCAAACCTTGAAACAATCTGACCAGCTCTAATGGTGAGACTATCCAGAGCTACAGTAGCAAGGGCTGGAAAAGAACAAAACAACACAACTCCCTCCACAGTTCTGGAAGGGCTCTGGGCCTAGACCTTCAAAGATATTTCAGTGCCTCAATACCTTTGAGGATCTGGACCACAAATCCTCATGCTTCAGGCCAGAAGCCAAGCTATAGGCTAATGGGGGCCGGGAAAAAACTTTGCTTGGAGGTAGGTGATCACAGAACTGCTTACGGCTGGGTTCTTACACCTTCCTCCGAAGCAGCTGGAATTGACCACTGCCAGAGACAGGACACATGATGAGGAGGACAACTGGTCTGCTCTGGTGTAGCACTTTCTAGGTTCTTTTATTTCTAATCACCGGTTGGTACAAACAACACCTGATGAAGCCAAGTGCTGTCCATGCTCAGAACTGCTGAGCCTCTCCTCTGATGAGCGTGACTGCCGTGGTAACTGACTACAGCACCTGCACTGATGCATGCTGTCGTGTAGCTACTGCAGATGCCCTAAGCGGATGGGAGAGAGCGAGCTCGTCGGCTTAATTATTCCAGCCCCCGTGAGTGGCGGTAACTATGTCGGCGGGAGAAGCTCTCCCGCTGACCTTGCACTGTCCACACCAGCGCTTAGGTCGGTGTAATTTACGTCACTCAGGGGGCTGACTTATTCTCACCCCTAAGGGACATAACTTGTGCTGCCTTAAGATGGAGTGTATACCTGGCTCTAGTTTTCAGCATTCCCTTGAAAGTAGGGAAGAAACCCCTTCAGACTCACCTAGTCTATCCAAAACTGGCTTGCAGCAATATATGGTATGTAAGGACTCAAGCCCACAAAGTGCTGAGCTCTCTGTGCCAGTCCAAGAAAGTGCTTAAACACATGCTTAATTTTAAGTACCTGAGTAGTCCCGTTAACTTCCGTGGGATTATGTTCATGCTTATAATTAAGCACTTGCTTAAATACTTTGCTGGAAAGGACCAGCTGGGCCAGACCGCTCAGAACCTTTCAGGATCATGCCCCAAGAACCCATTTGAAAGGAAAACAAATGCAGACAGACACACAGACGGGCCCCACTCTGTTTTAATTTCAGAGTTGCAGCAGGCAGCTTTCCCCTCTTTAGCAATTACCGCACTGAAGACCGATACTCCCAGCAGAGCTAGATTCTCAGCGCTACATACAGTGTCTGGTCTAAAGGCACTCTACAGGAATGAAAACAGAATGAAATAAAGCACCTTCTCCTCATCTGTGATAGCATTCCATTATGAAAGACACAACAAATGTTCCAAGATCACAGAGATGACGTTCTTCCATTAACATCAAAGCTAGGCCATCAACCGTCTTTCAGTCATTCAAGCAATTTATTCTTTGGAATGCATACGCTTTCATATGATTAAAGAAGAACTCAGGATTCCTTTAAAAAAATAGCTTCAATAATTTTCTCCCCTTTGGGTTTAGGGATGACAGAGCCTGATTCAATATGCCGGTAATTTAGGGCATACAATGACATACAATTTAACTATTGATTTCTTATATTTAATTTAGTGCTGATGAAAGATGGCAGAGTGGCAGCAATAGGAAACTGAAGTCGCAGTATAGAGTGAGCCGGTGTCATGGCATGACATGCAGAAAGCAGAGATCTACATCCCATTGGGCCAAGTTAAAGACAGAATAGGTATATATACCCAATTTCCATGAGCTGTACCTAGGCTTGGCAGAATTAGCTTTTTCATAGAATATCAGGCTTGGAAGGGACCACAGGAGGTCATCTAGTCCAACCCCCTGCTCAAAGCAGAACCAATCCCCAATTTTTGCCCCAGATCCCTAAATGGCCCCCTCAAGGATTGAACTCACAACTCTGGGTTTAGCAGGCCAATGCTCAAACCACTGAGCTATCCCTCCCCCGCATCAGTAAATGTTGATTTCGCCATACACACAAAAACCAACTAAAAAAATGTTTCCATCACCAATAATCAAAATGTACACATAGGCAGAATTTACAGAAAAACACTGCTCATTGATGTTTGGTTGAAGCATATTTACTTTGCGTATTGTGACATGTGGTATTGACAATTTGTGCTGTACCGGTTATAAAGCTTTCACGGTTTTGGCTCTCAGTGTCTGCTGCCATTAAATAATGATTGTGTCTGCCCCCTTTAATGTCCCGGAACTGTGAAAACTGAAATTGATGGCAAGAGGAAAAAACAGCTGAACACCCCGACTGTGAAAACTGAAATTAAAAAAAGTTTGAAAATGCTTTACAATAAACACAGAAATTATTCACTGAAATGATAAAAAATTAAAAATCAAATTCTGCCAAGCCTGGTTGTGCTACACTTTCTCTTCTAACATTTGTCTTCAGTGGTAGCCCCCCTCACTTTGTGCATGGAAAGGAAACTGGTGCTTCTGAACTAGCAAAGTGGGCAATTATTTCCCAGCAAGCGTGTTCAACAGAAATGCTGGAGACTGATAAGGCTAATGCACAGTAATCAGACTATTGAACTGGGAGTCAGGACTCCTGGGTTCCGTAGCCTCTGACTTGCTGCAATTTTGAATCAAGTAACTGAGACACCAAGGCCCAGATGCAACAAAAGGTATTTAGGCTCCTAAGGCCCATTGGTTTCAGTGGACATTAGGGATCTAAATACCTGTGTGGATCTGGGCCCAAACCAGCTGCCGTTGAAATCAGTGGAAAGATTCCTGCTGACTTTCATGGAAGCTGGATCACACCTTAACTATCTCTATGCCTCCGTTTGTCCATCTGTGACATGGATACAATAATACTTTGGTCCCGCACTGAGGTTTAGCGTTTAGGAAGCTGTGTTTATGAAGGGATTTGAGACTTTTGAACGAACAGTACTAAATAGTGCAAAGAATTTTCATCGTCTTTAAAATCATCTGTCAAAATTAATGGAAAGTTGAATTCAACTTATTGACTCAACTCTACACTTATCAAGAACAGGAAGTGCATGAATACACTCAGGAAATATTTTTAAAACAGAAATATCAAACATGCCTGACCTGAGTAACTGGATGATGTTATTATTGGAACCTTTGCCTTACCTGTCCCCATTAGACCTTTTGTTCGTTGAATACCTAAGTCTGTCTCAGGTGACATTTAAGAGCAGTTTCTGACCCTCACTAAAGAACATAAGAATGGCCCTACTGGGTCAGACCAAAGCTCCATCTAGCCCAGGATCCTGTCTTCCAACAGTGGCCAGTGCCAGGTGCCCCAGAAGAAATGAACAGAACAGGTCATCATCAAGTAATCCATCTTCTGTCACTCATTCCCAGCTTCTGGCAAACAGAGGCTAGGGAAACTTTTCCTTTATTGTGGCTTTGTGGTGCAGACGAAACATGCTATATAAGAGCTAGGTATTATTAATTATTATTGTTGTTGTTTTGTAAAGCAATTAACACAAGAGCTGGTTAAAAAAAATGGACGAAAAAAATTCACAAAATGTTTCAAAAGTTGTTTTCATTTTCCAGGGTTCAAAAGGGACCATTTTTGGGTCTGTTTTTGTTTTTTTCTACCACTTTCTGCCCCCCGGCGTTTGTTTATCATTATAATAATTTTTTTGTTTTCCCTCCCCCTTCACCCGTCATTTAAAAATGATTTTCAAAAAAGATGGAAAAGAGGGAATAAACTGAAAAATGATAAACCACAGACATTGAAAAACATTAAAAAATCATAAGCCGACAATTTTTCATGACAGGTTTTTGTTTTGTTTTGTTTTGTTTTTTTTAAAAGAGAGACCATTTCTCAGCCAGAGAATTTTTCATTAGAAAGTTTCAACCGGCTGCTTTCGGGCATTGCAAAAAATACATGCTCGTTTCTCCTAAGACATCTCATTTTCCTGAGCCACTGTATAATACTGAATACAGATAACTGGAGGGGATCAGCTTTATTGTAACTGACCAGATAAAAGCTTATGAGGATTTTTCTTTTCAACAAAGAGAATGTAGGTTTAGGACTGCAACAAGCTGCTTGCATCACTCGGAATGGCAGGGTAGAGAGGG